GCATACTTGAATAGGGGGGCGCATGTACACCATCACTCCATATAATCGGATCGATGGCATCGTGGTTCAAGCGTCGACGTCAGCGTGCTCGCAGCCGCAATAGTATATGCGAAGTGGTGTGTCCTCCGCGTAGATGCGCGTCATAGTCCGTGCCGGGGCTGCATCACGTGAACGGGTCGTGAGTCCCCTATCAAGGAGCGGCAACTCAATCGTGCGCACTGCCGGCCACTGCCAAAAGCAGAAGATCGAACTGTATCTTATCCAACCTGATCGCTATACTCGTTCGGAGGCGGCACGGCACCGGCGTAAGGAGTCTTGGAATAATCTACTTGCAGAGTCGGCGACTGCTGGCAGACGTGATAGATCTGTGCCTTAGAAGTCCTGAAGTGTCTAAACAGCAAGGACTTTGTTACAAACGTGATCCTCGTCGTCGGGCAATAGTCTGCAATCAACAGACTGACACAAACACATGATGGGTTGTCCATCCTCAGTTTCTTTCCGCCCACCACGACCGGCCGCAGGAGCGTCCGCACCTTCCATTCCTTCAACCTCAACTATTGAATGCCCAGACCTCATGCATACACATAGAGCTGCGGGAGGTGAACACGGTAACTCAACGCTCGCACACGCAGGACAGTCTACGGCTGAGCAAGGCAAGAGCCCTCTAATCGCGGCAGCGACCATAATACCGTGCTGACTGGTCGTGTGCGTCAGGTCGTACGCAGCTGCAGGATTCCTGGGTGCAGCGACGGTGAGACGCGAGGCTAACGGCGCAGCTATTCATTGTACAAGGGAACGGATGCGCACGACGTACATGGCCAACGACTCTTCGACCCTGCGTCACGCTGCATGGGGAGAACCGTACCAACAAAGCTCGAGCATCAGTCAAACACGACTGTCGCAGACCTCGCAAGGGCGAGTCGTACGCTCAGACGCGTTGTGACCATGCCAGAGCTTCGCTGGTGCAGCATCCCAGCAATAGACAACGGTTGCGAAATGAAGAGGATACCTGGCAGATTCTAAGTCACGGTAAGCACTGATATGCTAGGGCAACTGACGCGAAGCAGGATACTACTGACAGGGAACGTCTCCCCATAGCAGCGAAGGGACTTCCGAGTCGGTCTTCACGAGGAGTGTCGGTGCACGGTGTGTGGTGGGTCTGTGCCATTCGATCAGTGAGCTCGCGACGACTTTTATGGACCGCGCGGGACATCGTCCAGCTCGTGATCCGACTCTCTTATCTCGTCCATCTTCATGTCCACCAGGTCTCGTGCTGCTACTGCCGGCTATCCGCGTGCCACTTCACGGCGCTGCCGTCATCTGTACGAATTCGACACGACCGTTTTCGGATGGAACGTTACTGGACGCGGAAGAGCAGCTGACAGCCACAGCGGCACCTCAGCTCCGTACTCATTTCTCTGGTCGTCTGTCCGCGCTTCTTGCTGCTGGCTTAATCTCGCGCGAATCAAAGGCGGCCTTTTCGCTCGCTTCATGGAGATTTACTCTACACCGTTCATCGCGGTCGAGCTGTCTTCGCCGTTCCTCTCCTGACTCTTGAGCTGCTTCGCATATACTGCAGGGTTACGGCTGTCTCCTCCGGTACTGCTCGTCGAGGCCTGACACAGAACCCTCTCCCTGCGCTTCTGCAATGTTCAGCAGCTCGTCGTGCCACATGACAAGGAGCTTCCATGCAAGGAGATCTCGGGCGGCTGGCATTTTGTATTCTCGAGAAGCGACGACTGCAGCGCTCGACACTGCTGCCAGTGGCGAGGACATGAGGCTTCCTTGCCGTGGTGCCTTACGGTTGCTCTCCACTCCCTTAGAGGGCGAACGTGACCAAATGCATTTCTCAGCCGTTCTTCACAACTTGAAAATGCTAGAATCACATCATATCGAGGCAGATGACTGTCATCCATTCATTTGGTGGCTCGGTGCTAAAATGCTCGCCGGCCGCCTTGCCGTGATCTAGACCTCGTTGACTGCGTTCGCTGCGTCTTCTAAATATCTCAGCGGGAACACGGCGATATTGATCCACACGGAGTAACACATCGACTATCCTGTCTGTGACCTTACTCGTTGCTAGTGCACTGTCTTGATATGGTACACGAGTTTCCTGGATACGCTTGGATCACCACCGTCTCTGCGCCGGCCGTTTACCGGGCCTCCGCGTCTCGCTCATCGATCCGGTACAAGTATATGTCCCCAATGACGCATGCCAAGCTTCTTTCTCGACATAGTACTGAGCCCCTTTTGAGAGACCAGCGAAACGTATCGCCAGTGAATTACTAGTAGTCTCGTGACCACACCTCGAGGATCCTTTCTGTGCGCGGCGGCCTATATCTCCCGCTCGACGTGTGAGTACCAATGTGAATGCGCGACTTATGGGCCTACTTTAACCGACTCTAGACCAGACAAAAGCAATTTATGCGCCTGTACCGCATAATGCTTCCCGTTCCCATGAGCGGAGGGCACACGACTGATGACAAACAAGTCAACACTTATTCGCCACCACGGGTTTACAGAAGCTCCCACTATGAGACCCTTAGCGCCCTTACAGAAGAAGACCCGTCTCCGGCCCGAGGTTCCTACTCTTGCACGACGGGCGTCCGGCTCAGCAATGCCCCCTCGGACGAATCCCGTCAGAATTCCATGCTACAGGGCTATTTGTCAAGAGCTCTCGCCCGCTGCAAGCAGAGTCTATCAATCGATCTGGTCCCAGATTGCGCTGCGTGTTTGTAAGTGGCTGCAGTGTCCCATGACCACGAACAACAGGCCCTTCCAAGCCACCGGGTGCCTGCATGCAATCACAGTTGCGTCATTGCCTCGAGCGTCAGGGTCAGCCTCCGTCGTTCTGGTGAACGGTTCACGTTGCTGAGATCAGCGTTCGAATGCTTGCGTGCCTTCGCTTCGTCATCATCCGACGTGCGCAAAGACATGTGCCTCTTCGACCCTGTGTCATAAATCTTTTTCCAGGACAGGGTTCAGAATTGACGTTCTTATGCCGGCCCGGTTTACAGAACCTGGATGGACTATGACCTGGGGCACGTGTTGTGAGGTCTCAGGATTGAGATAGGTGAAGGAGCAACACGGACTAGCATCAAATTACTGGAAGGCAGAGGACGACTGGTACTAGTGGCAATGAGGAGCTGTGAGTAATCTGCGATACTTTCAGTCTATCGCTCTTGAGTGCGAGCGTACTTAGTCGGACCATACCATACCTAGAGGATATAACGAGCTATAGATCCCACGTAGTCTGAAGTTTCTACAGTATACTATGATCTACTCTCAGGAATCCTGCGGCTCTTCGGACATCCGAGGCGTTCGCATACTATGCATCGTGTTGCTTCGCGAGACCCGCAAAATTGGAGAATTTAAGAGGAGGATTGTCGGTCATTGCAACGCGAGCGATCTTCAATAAGTATCGCCTTTTCAGAGGCGTATTCCTGTGTATAGTTTCGCAATAGCGATCGGGAAATTACAGCTCTAGTCTGAGACTCAGTCCGGCATCTTCCGCAACTTGCCTTCTTTCCAATCCGTTGTCCGGCGACAATGGGCATTGGTGAAAATGTCCTCGTCAGAGACTTCATGTTCTGTGACGACCACGGCCAAGAATGGTGCGGTCGCTGCTGCTGCGACCACAGGATGTGCAACAACATCCGGATCGAGGAATATGTCGACGAATATACAGACGAAGACATGGCCATCGAAGCTCGCGAGGCCATCGCCGTACGCAGGATTAGGTCCTCGGATTTCTGTGTCACTAATGTGCTGGATACTTAGGACGACCGACCGCCTTTGAGCTTGCATTTGTACGGTCTGCCGACAAACCGTCGCGACGAGGAAAACGAGCGTATCTGGGTATGCCGCGAGCACGGTGTCGACAGTTGCTCGACCTGCTTTGACTTCGTTTGCATCGTACTCGAGTCATTTGGCGTATACGAGGTCGTCGATACCGACAACAACGAAAGCGAAACCGGGTCTAGCGACTCAAGTGGACCACCGCCGCTTGTAGACGTCTACGCCGATGTCGCGGCCCAGGCGGACACTACAGCACATTCAGGACGAGTGGTGGAGATTCAGCCGACAGGCCAGCGCGCAGGACCGCCGCACGAGACGCTGTCAGGAAACCCGCTTTACCGCGTCAACTACGTTCCTGTTACTCTTAGGCGTCGGCCGGTCAGCGGCCGTACCACGAATGCGGCTCTTATTGAGTCCATGAGCCGCGCAGACTGTCCTCGTCGATTCGTACCACCGACACAGGATACGCGCCCACAAGATCTGTTTCGCCAGCGCGCCGACTTCAGTGGAAACAGATTTCTCCGTTATCTGCACCGCGGAGACGATCATACGATGCTCGTGTACACCGACGGCGCATGCCTGGACCAGGGTGGTCCGCAGCGCCGTGGCGGATGCGGGATTGTCTTCTGCGACTCGCTTCCAGGACAGAAACATGCACTGGAAGGAACGATCGGCGGACCCGAGCAGACGAGCAAACGCGCCGAGCTACGCGCAGTCTTGTTCTTCTTACAGCTCAGAGTATGGGAATCAGGCGGCGCACAGCGAATTGTCGTCGCGACCGACAGCGAGTACGTTGTCGAAGGCGCGTGCGTCCGTTTGGCCGCATGGGTTCGACGCGGGTGGCGGACGGCTGAAGGGCGACCGGTAGCGAATCGTGATCTGTGGGAGGCGCTACTGAATGAGCTAGAGCGCAGCGAACAAGGCGACCTTCGCATCCTCTTCTGGCGGATATCCCGCGCACTCAACGCCCGTGCGGATACACTGGCAAAAGAGGCCGCTGACATGGTGCGTGAGGTTCAGCTGAGCATGCGTGCTACGAGACTAAGAGATGACTGCACAACAGCGCGAGCGTAGCTCAGAACCTGGACTTGTGTTTGGTATCTTGATGTAAAGCATAGCGGGTAGAGGGCGGAAGTCCTGGGAGAAGCGTCAGGTCCTGACCATGGGTAACTCATATTATGCTCAAAGTCAACTCGATCATCGGCCCAGTGGTCTAGTCGTATGATTCTCGCTTCGGGTACTCATCCCAGTTCATCAGAGCTGACAAGATGCGAGAGGTCCCGGGTTCAATTCCCGGCTGAGCCCATCGTTTTGCCGTCGTACGACGGTCTATGGCAATGTGCTTTTGGAAATGACTGCGGAGTGCCATGTTTCTCACAGAGTGTCAATGCTGCGTATATGGCCACTCGCTTCAAGTCTGACGCCCGCAGCGTTTACTCGTACTGCCAGTTGAGGCACGAACTGCAGCCATGTTCGAGGCCATGTTCGAGGCCTTGGAGTCGGGATCGTCCCAGGATCTGAATGTGCAAACAGTCCAAGTGATAGGCTGACCGGGAGCTCCAACAGCCACCGGTTTGTCTCGCCGACGCGGAGGCTCCGAAAACGAACATGTTGCGGATCTGGTCGCCGCCAAACTTTCAGTGCCTTGCTATTTCTAATTACTCCAGAACGTTGTTTGCACACGTACCCGGCCATATACATGTTGCGAAGCGGTACATATGCGGGATCTTCCTGCCAAGGGGGCCAACGACTCCTGACGAGATACGAGCGTAGCACTAACGGTTTGATAGCAATGCTGTATGGGCGCCATGGATCATGATGATTCCGGGATCTGAGAACACCAATGGGGATATAAAGCGAGGCGGACGAAGGGCGACAGGTTCACAATGATGCGGCCCGTGGTCCACGCCCAGAGCTTCAAGCTTGGCCCACTCGACTGTGCCAATGCACCCGGGCTGTATCGAGGCCAGATCCTCTGCTTCGAAGGGGAAGAGCTCGATGTGAAGACGCTCCGCGACGGGCTCGTCGCTCTCATCGCGCTGTCGCCCCTGCTGACTGGGACAGTCACCGCCGTCGGCCCTTCAGCTCCCGGATGGTACCAGGTGTCGCAGACGTCCGCGCGGTCTGTCGATGACATTCTAGTCGTTGCCAATATGCGCCACGCTATGAACTACGCGGTGTCGCGCGCCCGCGGATTCCCACCGTCCGACTTCCTGAGCGACTTCAACCCCGGCGGAGCGAAGACGATACTCGCGTCTTCGTCTGCACCAGTGATGGCTGCACAAGTCAATGTCGTCCGCGGAGGCGTCATTGTCTCGATCTTCATGCACCATGGAGTCTTCGACGCGCCGGGATCTGCGACCGTTCTGCGCAAGTGGGCCGCACTATGTCGCAGCGAGCGCGTGGCGCCGCTCGACATCGACCGCATGCCATTCTCATTGGACGCTGGGCGCGGTAGAGGACGAATGGAGGATCGGTCCGAGTATCGACTGCAGGCCGTTGATGCGCCACCTCCATCGTTCCCGCCCTCGACGACGGGGATGTGGTACTTCAGCGCCGAAGCTCTCAAGAGGCTCAGAAAGGAAGCCGCCGCAGACGACGACGACGACTGCAGACTGAGCACGAATGACGTGCTGAACGCGTTTTTGTGGATGCGCGTGACGGCAGCACGAGTTCAGCTCGGTCGCCTACATCTAGAGGATGAGACAGCGTGGAGATGCCTGGTTGATGCGCGCTCGCGCGTCATTCCCCGTGTTTCGGAAGAGTACACGGGCAACGCGACCATTGGCGCGTCTACGAAACTGCGCGTCGGGACGCTGGTCGGGCCCGACGCATCACTTTCGACAGTAGCGCGCGCTGCGCATACTGGCGTCCGACGTGGCGCAACAGACGCGTGCGTCCGAGACAGCATAGCCTGCCTGAGCCATCACGCGAGTGACCTCCGCGTCGTAGGACTCCAGTGGAAAGACCTGGTCAATTCCAGCCTGCGCTCGTCATCGTGGGCGCGGCTCGACACATACGGGCTCGACTGGGGCGCTGCATTCGGTCACGGCAAGCGCTGCGACAGGATACGGCATCCATGGGATCTGATATGCGGAATGGTCGTTGTAATGCCGAGGGGCGCGTACGGAGAGCAGGACACAGGGTTCGAGGTTGCCATTCCGCTTGTATGTGACCAGTTCGAAGTGCTGGCGAGAGACCCCGTGCTCGCAGAATATGCTGAGCGTGTATATTGATAGATATGCTATAGATGTGGTCGTCGCAATACGAAGTTAACAGCCAGGTGGCCCGTCACTGGCAGAATTGTCAGAAATCGTTCTACTGTAGCGTATTTCATTGTCGACGTCGACGCAGGAGCACATCCAGACACCTAGATCCAGTTTCCAAGCAAAGTCGTTGGCGATAGAATGATTCTGGGTTTCCGCAGGGTGACGGTCGAGGTCAAGGAGCGTCAGACGGAGTTGGACTAACCGGACGCACCTTGTCCACCGTCCAACATGTCGCCGATGGTCGATTACACGCGACAGCTTCCTGCCGAGCTCTGTCTCAAACTATTGGACTCGCTAGACCTCGCAGATGTCATTCGCGTCTCCCTCGTGTCCCGGTGGTGGCGATTAATCGCTTTCGACCACCCTACGTATTGGGCTACTGTGACCCTCGAACCGCGCTCCGCTCCGCACGAGCATGGCTATGCTCGCGCGTATTATCTAGCGGCCGCGCAACTGGAACGCTCTTCGCGCTCGCCCATCACGATTCATGTGGACGGCTATTTTCGCGAAGAGGTACCCTTCGAACACGCACTGCTTCTCCTCATCCAAAGCAACATGTATCGTGTCAACAATCTCGACATCGCGTCGGAGAGCTCGTCGATACGCAGCATATTCCTTTGCGACGCACCGATACTCGAGGAGCTGCACCTGAAGTGGTGCCCGGACCCGGACCTCATGCTTCCTGTCGTCGTTCCAGGAGTTGGCGACGAGGAACTACTACTTCCCACGTCATTTCCAGCAAAGTCCCCCCGCCTCCGGCTTCTCAATGTAGAAGACGTGCGACTCAGCCCTGCTGGCTTCCCAACGTTTCCGGCGTTGACAACTCTCATCGCCTCTCCACGCTTCTGCCAAGGCGTCTGCCTCCCAGAAGTCTTCCCGTGTCTGCGAGAGCTCACTCTTGGCGATCTTGGCGTATATAGATTCCCGCAGCCGCTCACACCACTCTGGGTACAATGGATCACGCGCCTGGAACGCGTCTCTCTCGAGCAGCATACGATATCGGTCAACACATCGTGCCACGCGTTGTTTAATGTGCCCCGACTCGAGGTTTCTCTAAACATGGACACTACCGCCTCTAATTGCATTGTCGCGTCGATTACCGGGACCGCGTTGCATGCTAACTTAAGGCCCGACAGCCAGTCAGGGCTGCACATCTTCGATCCGTCGACCGGCCGGACGCGTGTGCTTGCATTTTACAGACTAATCGATTTCATCGTTACATGGGGAGCGCTGTTCCCGCGCGTCCACACTTTCGAACTGGATATAAGCGACTGGATCGAGTTCGCCATCGTCATTCATCACACAACTGGGGATCCGCTGTCGAGTCTGACGACGATTACGTTGCGT